TAAATAGGTGAATAGAAGGCAAAAAGGGTAAAGTTAAACTCCAGCCAAAACCTATGCTCTGTTTTGAATTGAGCAGGGAAGGGTTTAGAACAGTTGTGGCCAGCTTGATACATATAAGGCTTGGGGCTGGGGCTTTTGTAAACTCCTTTCTCCTTGCAGGGAGAAAAGCAGCTTAAAAAAAAAACACGTTTTGCAAATGAGTGTCAAGCTGTTGGGCATTTATTTATTTCACTGGCCAGAATATTAATTTATTAATATTAATTTAAATGAAAAAAAAAAAAACACTCCTGCACTAAACACACCTAGTGCTTAGGCACGTTTACAGCCAAAATCCTCCTCTCCTGAACACATGGGTGATGATTTATTTTTTCTGCCTCCAAATGCGCCCCTGGCTCTAAACTGTAAATATGTTCATGAGTGTGCATGAGACCTACATGAAGGGCCTCAAGAGCAGCCCCTGACATGACCAGAGGACCACACAATAGTATCTGTACTTAAATTATAGATATTCTTAAATAAAAGTGAAAATCTGCATTTTTGAGCTTCTTTCTTCTTTTGACACCACACAGGGACACAAAGAGAAAAAAAAAATCAGGTTTGCGTCAATTGTTAGCATAATATTAAGATAAGATTAAATCGGGTTTAGTATGACGCTGACATTTTTCACAGGTTTGCTATCACTACATTTTTAAATGACATTGTGCTCACTCGCATGAATGTTTTTTGTGCATGGAGTAAATGCAAATGTCTTCAGGAGCCTCCAGTATAGTTTGAAGATTAAGATGGGGACAGAATAACTTTTTTAGCTGACTTTTGTTCCTTCACTGGGGAGTCGGGATCAGGTTACTGGAGGCTTGATCCAGCCCCCCATGCAGGTCTGTGGTTTCAGTACTGATACTGCCTCCAACAATTCCTTCCTTTTCTTGTATGGGTGTCACAGAGACTGGAAGTGATAACAATCTATAAAATGGAGTCACATACACAAATAAATACCCACCAGAAGTTTTAATTCTTCCCAGTTCTAGTAAAAGCAAAATATAAATAAAATTGACTGGAGCTGGGTTTTAATTGTTGGACCCATTAGACCCAAGACCATACTTTCTGTGTATCCCATGTATCTTTAGGCAACATCTGGGCAGCACAGTGGTTAAATGGTTAGCACTTCTCCCTGGCAGTACTAGGGTTATCGGTTTGATTCCCAAACAAAGCACCACCTGCCTGGAGTTTGCATGTACTCCCTGTGCATGTGTAGGTTTCCTCTGGATACTCCGGTGTCCTCCCACATGCCAAAGACATGCTGGTAGATTAATTGGATCCTGTCTAAATTGGCCCTAGTATATGTATGAATGAATGTAAGTTAGATTGTATGCCCCTTGTGGGTTAGGGACTAATGTGAATGTACAATATACATGTAAAGCGCTGCGTAAATTAATGGCACTATATAAGTACCTGTAGTAAAAAAAATAACATCTATTTTATTTAATTTGGAATAGCACCTTTTATTTCACTTTGGAAAGTTTTTATTTTTATTTGATATAGCACTGGTTTTTGATTTTGCACTATTATCTCACTTAAAGTGATAGCATTATATGTGTATATTTTATTTTTAATTTTATTTGCTGTAGTAGTGGCCTTTTGCACTTATGAGGATATCACACTTTACATATGTTTATATATTTTTTGATATCTGTTTGTGGATATTTATGAGAGCAGCTGTCTGTATTATTGCTCGAGAACACTGAGAATTGTGAGTACATTTCTGGCATTAGCGCAAAGTTAATTTGGACAGAAAACCCTGCTATTTAGATTTGATGAGTTTTTACATCATCCTTCCATAAAGCCCTGCTTTTTTGCCAGATCTGAGCCCTACTGGCTCCAAGTACATCTGTGTTTTGTGTCTACACTGGGGGCTTCTCTCCAGCATGATATACCTGGGAAGCTCCAGCAAATGATTAGAGCATCCACTGGCACATGAATAAAGATAAAGGTCATCGCTAAAAACTGGCCAACTTGATAAAATGTGACCAATACAGCTCACAGTGATTATTTGGGGCTAAATAAGAAATAAAGGGATATGCAGGCAAGCAGATATTTTGGGAACTAGTCTATCCAGATCTGTGAATTTCAGAGAGATAGGAAACAGACATCTGAATTATTGATGTCAATATAGTACTGCAACAAAATGAAACGATAAGAATGTCCTTGGACTTTCTGACAAGCCTGTTTTATAAAAAGCAGCATTCTGAGAAATGATGTTATACATTTGTTCTAGGGAGCACAGTAACAGCGCAGTAACAGGAGATCTCTGTACTGATCTTTCCCTTTGACGTCGGCAGTTCTCTAAGTCCTGTTATGATCAGAAAACCAGGGAAATGTAGGACAGTGCTTTGTAGATATTTTAAGGTGGTGGAAAAGACTTTTCTGTGTGTAAAAGAATCAGCTTAGCCAGGTTTATTTTTGGCAGATGCTGGAAAGCCCAATCACCCAAGTACTTTCTTATGTTTTTTATAGAATCTTCTACCTGGGCCCATTTCCTTCGTTTTATTTCTTAATGTAGAACAAATAGTGCAAAACAGAACCTCACCTAATACTATGTGCTCAATACAACATCTACATAAAATGGAATATTTTAACTTTGTAGACACTTTTCACTGTGTGTGTATTACAATATAACCAGAACTGCAAACATCAATACTATATACAATGAATCTATACATAAATAGTCACTAATGGAACAATGTTATTAACATTGTGAATCCACTGCAATCACTCATGTCTCCGACACCAGTGTTTGCCCAAATCACTCACTGGAGTTATATGACCTCTAGCTCAGGAGGGTCTACACCACGAGTCTCCAAACTTTCTAAACAAAAGGGCCAGTTTAGTGAACTTCAGACATTGGGGGGGGCCACACTGGCCAGTGGGAGTTGAAATTTTCCTGACATCAGTGGGTCTAAACATCACCACATTTGGTATTGGGGGGGGAGTGCCCCATCATTGGTATTATTGGAAGAAATAGTGACCTATTGTTGGTATCATTGGGCAGAATATTGACCCATTGTTGGTGTCAGTGGGAGAAATGGTGCCCCAATTGTTGGTGTCAGTTGGCAAAATAGTGTTTTGTATCAGTGGGAGTAATAGTGCCCCAAAGGCCAGATAAAGGCAAGCAAAGGGTTGCAGGGCCACAATTTGGAGAACACTGGTCTACATACACTTATTGTTAAAAGAGAAGTATGGGATTTATTAAGAAAAAAATAATTATACCCACCTAGGTGGATGCAGCATCGATCCAATGCTGCATATGTCCCCTATGGCTCTACACTGAGCACTCAGTGATCAAACACCGCTCAGTTCTCCCCTCTGCTCTGAGCAGTGAGCCTGGACTGTCAGTCACCAGCTCTCTGCTCTGCCCCACCAGCACACACTGGAATGCTGGCTGGGAGGCAGCACAGCTGACAGGCTGAGCCAACTGCATGTCCAGGCTTATGGGTGGATCCCACCATGTGTTCAGGATCTTTCCAGAGCCTGGTTCAGCTCTGTGACATCAGCCAGGTAACAGGATTACAGATCACTCCTGTGATCCATAGGCTATACTTCTCCTTTAATATCAGTAAATATCCCCTTGATAAATCTTCACAAACCTTCACATATCTCTCTTCATCTCTCAGAAATGGCAACAAGAACAAATTAGTCAATTAATGTTTAATTCTTTTTAAACCATTTATTAAAAAAAAAAAAAAAATTAACTCACATTTTTAGGTGCTAGCTTAGCACTCAAAACATCGCTATTAAAATATTTGCCTCTGCCATACACAGCCCAATCCAAAAGATCTTATACCTCCTCAGCTTACTGTGACACTCGGATACTAACTGGTCCTCTCCAACTAACCTCATAGATTGGGGGATCTCAATTGTTTTATTAGTGATAAGTAAGAGCCATCCTATATGTATTACAATAGTATTTATTTGTAGAGATAAATATAATTCATGAAAATGTATTGTTTAATTGTATGGAGTTATTTGCAAAATATGAGAATTCATTGTCTAATTGTTAATGTATTGTATTGATCTAATTTAAAATGATGATGGTATGTATTGATTTTATTTAGAAGGGTTTATATAGAGAGTGAATAATCACCTGTGATAATATATAAGCTATTAGGTTCATAATGGTAGATTATATAAAAGAATTAGAACATATTGTTAAACTACTGTGGAGCAGACTGATAAGAGTATGAACCCTGGGAGAGCATCATGGAATTTTTGAGCTTAAGAGGAAAGGATATGCAGCTGGGAATATTCACATATGCTGGCCTTATCCATTAACAAAGTCCTTGAGACGAAACGTGTTGGGAGGAGTCTGTGCATGTGAACAACATGCCCATCTACATTGCCGGGAGGAAGAACATATGGAACAGCTGTCTTCTCAGTGGACAAAAGACGCTGGTGCAACAGTCGTTTTTGTCTGCTATTGGAAAGGATACCATATATGATGTGAACGTACAATATATATGTAAATTAACGCCGCTATATAAGTACCTGTAATATTAATATTGCTAAGTGTATATCTGCTCTACAAACAGAGCCTTATTTAGTTAGGTTTGTATGCGTATACAGTGGTGCATCTTGCATGGACAAGCAGATCATAACCTCACAGTATTTACTACATTCCCACAATACACACCAACATACAGTATGTGCACAGGTTCTACAGTATATAAGGTGAAATTACTAATACGTTTGGGTTGCAGTAGAGTGTATGCTACAGTGTTCAAACATATAGTATGACAGCTAACTGGTGGTTTGCGAAAAAAAGAAAAATGCATTTTGTTTCCCTAATGCTTTGGGTCTATCTAACCACTGTTAGCAGGCAATATATTCTAACATGACTGTTTCAGGTCATGTTAAAATTTACAGTGGACAATACCAGATAAAGAAGGGGTTGGAAAGAGGAGAGTTTAAATTGTAACTTCTGATAAAGATGATGAAAAAAAAATCACCTCCAGCTGTTCCTTAGTGCTCTTCATCAGTGCTTCTTCAAACATTTTTGCCCGATCTCTTAGTGAATGATTCTGGAACGTCAAAGTATCAACTTGATCCTGTGGGAGAAAACAGAACTTCATGAGAAAATCAATATTACTTTTACAGTCAATACCAATATACCTAGATATGTCTAATACAACATCAGATAAGGATAATATTGGGCAGTTTATGGAAAGTGGGATGGGGGAAGGGAACTTTCCTAGTATTACTATAAAACTGAGATCTTTGAAAGATTTTTTTATTTTTTTTGTGTGTTCACACCGTAACCTTCATTAAATATCAGACAAGACTGGCACGGAAATTCAAAACAGCCGTAACAGCACTTTTCTAGTGGTAGTTCCCTTAAGAACTACCTGTACCTAATTCAGGCAAGCATTTGTGCCAGTTTTGGTAATATGACTGACTCATGCGACAATTTCAAGTAGTTCTTACTAATACCACTTTAAGTACCTGTCACTATGGCGGCAACAGATTCTTAATTAATTATCGCCAATTCTCAGATTAGGAAAAGGTCATTAAGACCAACTCTGAGCTGGTGTTCAGAGGTATGCCATGCCTGTGCTGGGAAGCAGTCACTGCTTCCCACACAGTACTGTATCCTGGACACCATTCACCTGTTGGCTGGGTGATTCTCACCTGAAAGCTAAATGTAAAACAGAATACAGGTGATGTCATTACCCAAATACGGAAATGCCCTTAGTGGGCGGAGCCTGATGGGGAACATAGAGGCTATTTCCCAAACAGGTCCGTTTTACTTGCACATGACAATGGGCGGTTTCAAAAGCCACTATTGGACTCTCGCTCTGCTGTGCACTGCCAATCAAAGGTAAAGAAGACCTGATGGGTAACTAGTCTTTCAGATGTTTTACACTTTGACTTGCTTTCCGTGCACACATTGCATAATGGTGCTGCCACAGTTGGCCATTGAGTGAGAGCCTAAAGAACCTCTTTCCTTATTTTCGGTGAACCCCCCCCCCCATCCAATTTGACATCCTACAAGACAGGTTTGCTGATATCAAAAACTGCAGGACCAGAAGCATTACTGCAACTGCAAAAAAGGATATCTGTTAATAAAGCTTTAGCTGTATTCTGCAGTTATACAATATACAGTGCCATTATACAAAACCTACTCTTCTTGTATATTATAACTATTTCTACTTTGCTTTGCTCATCCTAAATGTTGCAAGTTGAAAAGTGACATTTATATGGGTAAGGATGATTCCATCTGCCTCCAGGTTACCCAGCCTTGCACTTCCATTCTGACTAAGGTTGCCTTACTTAGATATATGTAAAAGCTACATTGTAATTTACAGCCTATTTAGTAAAAATAAAAAAATAAAAAAACATTGTTAAAATGGTCCTGACAGACTGCAAGATTGTAAAGTTGCTGGCATATAGGCTAACACAGGGTTTCATCTGTTATGGTGATAAAGTCTTGATATGCATGACTTAGATCCACTAGTTATAACATGAAATCAAACAATGCATTATGCTGTCATTTAGCTCATAGCAAACAAAGCTTCATAAAGAGATTAATTTGTTAAAGCCCAGCTTTGGGCTTGTTTTCTATTTAAAAATGGGTGGTCCAGCAGTAGATGAAATTAAACAGCAGCTCTTGCTGCAATACTCACCTTTTCTCCAGAACTGCCCCCTGCAGTAATTCTTTTCTGCCACTGGATGCCCTCGGTCTTCTGGGTTTTACTCCCAGAGTCATTCAACCCAGAAGACTCTAGACATACTGTGAGTGCAGGGTGTCATGAATCTTAAAATTCTCTGCACTCCAAATAAATATAATACAGAGAGCAGCATGACATAATACCATCATCAACACCACTCTCTGCATCACTGAGGACAGCCCACCATGACCTTGGTCATTTACTGATATTCTCAAACCTTCCAACTCCGTTTTGTAAGATTTCACCCAATATGGGAGTTTATTTTGTAAACTGTGCTATATATTCCAGCTTTAAACTGGCCATGACATTCAAAACAATACAAAGAAAAAGTAAATTCTCATTCTTTTACTCACTGCAGTAGTATCCTGTGCACAGGATTTCATGTGTCCTACCAGATGGCAGGAATGCACCGATTCCTACTAAAGCACTGACCATGTAAATACAGGAAAATCACAACCTCCCACTTAGCACCCATTCTAAAACAATTCAGCAACAGCACTGATATGGTCATATTAAAATAATGTGCTTCTGATCTGTGCAACATCCTCCTGTCAATATCAGTAACTGGGTTGGATGCAGGGGGACATTTCATTTAACCTAGAAGCTGACCGGCGTTGGATCAAAAACCAGTAAGTCTACAGGGGACAGTGCCAGATATAAGGTGAGAGATGCAGCCATAGCTGCTTTTTTATTCTTGTATGCCTGTGGCAACTGATGAAGCTGGAGTTCGGCTTTAAATCTCTCTTAGAATTCCTGTAACAAAAAGTCCTTGTTATTCTTTGCATTACAAACACTTACCTGTAGTGATAGCCGTAATATTTCAAAACCATCTTCAAGCATTTTCTTCTCTAACTCATGACTCTCTCTCAACTCTGTGTAAAAAGAATAGGTAACACATAGTAACAGGCCAGTTTTCTACTGTGATGCGATGGGGAAACAAGTAAAGCAACAAGAATATTTGAAAACATTCAGCCGTACATTTTTTGTACAATGTTCAATAGTGTTCATATCACTTAACAATATGTTGTGAACAAAATATTGCTCAGCTTTAGGTGTGCAATACTGATAACATTTTATTACTGAAGCTCTTTTATAGACATGCTACATCCACACTTCTCCGCTAGAGGGCAATGTTGACTAGAAATGTTTTAAAGGTAAAGAGAATCTAAACCCAAGAATAACTCAACTTTCTACCTTCGGGACTGAAAAAGCAGCTGAAGCAGGTTAGCTACATTTGCAATTAAATATGAATAACTTCAGAAAATCATGCTGCATTTGCCCATCAAAGTTTGTTGAAATTGGCCATTATACATACAAGCGCAGCTATTGCTAGAGGCTACATATTGTCTTTCAAGATACTCATGCCTCTGGTCTACCATTCCAAGGTGTAACCTGCAGTTGTGTTGTGTATTATCTTCTAACAAAAACCACTTATTCAAGTAAAGTGTACCCATTGATTTGTTCAAGCAACAGTAAGATCGCTATTTCCCAGGATTTTTTAACACCTGGGTAACAAGGCTGCATTCAGTCCAGTACTGTTTATTTAGTTTTCCACAGTTATAATCTCTGGAAAGCACAATCCCGCTCAGATTTAAATTTTTGTTAACTTACTGTCCTTCAGAACTGAATTTAGTGTGGTGCAACATACATTTAGGTTGTTGGCTACTTCTTTTCTTAGATAAGATACATATATGCCATAGCACAGGGGCAGCAACCCCTGGCACACATGCCAGGGGTGGTGACTGATGCCTGTCCTGCTGGCACGTGATGCTCCTGGCCCACTCACCTTGACAAAAACATGCTGGCAGCTGGGGACACTCGAAACTGTGATCGAGGAAGTCTGCTTGCATTGTTTCATGAGCCAGATCCCCCTTCCATAACTGCCAGATCTAGAGATATGGCCACAGTTAAGGGTGTACCACCAGTACAGAGGGGTCAGCAGGTGGGCAACGTGCTGTGGCTGGGAGGGAGCTGCAGTATGAAGGGGTGAAATGCAGGCTGGAGAGAAAGCTGGAAAAGACATATTTATTTTTTGCAGCCTTTTCTATCATCACCATACTTGTCAGGACCCGGGTCTGAACCTGGGACTTCTGCAGTCTCTGGCTGTACCTCTTCTCGCTGTGTCACCTGAGATGCTGGAAAGCTCCTTGCCTGGTCCCTTGGACAATCTTGCCTTGTATCTTGTTTCTACTGAAACCTGAACTCTTTGCTTCTCACGTGAACTTTCTGAAATAAGCCATGTTTCTGCACTTCCTGTAGTCAAACCAATATCTTGCTCCTTGCATACCTGCAGCAGTCCTTATCTTCACTACCATTTGTTATTGACCTTTGGCTTGTTCCTTGACTACACTTCTGCTTTATCCCAACCTGCAACCACTTGTTACTAACCTTTGGCTTCTTCAATGACCACACTTCTGCTTGATCCCTACCTGCTACATCTGTTACCGAGCCCCAGTTTGCTCACATCCTGGTGGGTAGATCCAGAGGACCATGACCTGGCAGTAGAACACAGTGGAACCCATCTCCACCATCAGGAGCTCTGCTGAAGACCAGTTAGTTTTTAGACCCTGAGACTTGGGTGAGCCCATGTACTAATTTTGCTGGTTGCTGTAAACCTCTCTACTACTATAGTTACTGGTCTCTAAGCCTGACCCTGACCATGAGAGAATAATCTGGCAAAAAGGAATGCATAGACAAGGCTTAAATCAGGGAGTTCATGAGAGGAGCAAAGAGTTTGAAGTTCACCAAAAACAAGACACAAGGCATGATTGTCCAAAGGATCAGACAGGGATCTGTCCAGCATGGCAGGTGGCACAGCGAGAAGAGCTACAGCTAGACGCCACATACGTCCCCCTTTCAGATCCAGACCCTGACAATACCATAGTAGGGAGAGGTTTCTGCAATCTGGTACATTTTTTTGAATCCAAACTCTAACCACCCCAGCTCAGATTACAAGCAGCGCTAGTGGGGTGACATTGGAGAACCCCCACATTGGCATTGTCACCTGCCAGCTGAGTTCCACAGAATTGGGAGGGGGAATTAGAGTTTGGATTTTCAAAAAATATCCTTTGGACTGATGTTCATATGTGTCTGTAAGACTCTATTTTGTGCCATTGTAATGTGTTGTGAGCACAAGGCTGCAGCATGTGTGTGGTGTATATGCAATTTAGGTGCATACTCTATCAATCCACAAATGATACTCAGTATAGTTTACCGAGCCCACCTTTTGCAGAGGTGCACATAGTGTGCTGCAGGACCCATTCTCCCTAAGGTGTTTATCTTTAGTTCTAAATGTGGGAGGTTTTGTGGGTTTCTGGAAGGTTCTAGAGAAACAATGGGGTGCCTTTCAGGTAAGCTGTACAGGGCCCAAAGATTTCTAATGTGGAACCCTGTCTGACTCAATTACTTACAAATATTTTTCGGCACACTGGATTCGAAAGGTTGCTTACCCCTGCCATAGCATCAATATTTGTATCAGTACTTTTCCACCACATTACAATACAATTACAAAGGCAGCACTGTATCAACCATATATTTGTACCATAAAGGTGACAGCTACATATGTTACATGGTACAAAATGGAAACATCAGATACTACAGTGAGTAATCCGGGGGTCAGATCTATTCTGGGGAATTGATGCAATAAGGCCCAGTGAGACCATCAGAACAAGACAAGCGATTCATCCATCACTGCAGCCTCGTCTGTCTCACTGCTTTACATTATAGACATTCTACTGTCACAAGCACTCATTTGCATTTTTAATATACTGCTGGAATTATCCTGTCATTATAATTAGGAGTCATTTATACAATTACTGTCTTTTAAGATTTAATTTTCCTAGAGCAGCTTGAAGACTAAAGAGAGTACTAACATAGGCTAGTATCTGTAGAAAGGGAAACAATTATAGAGATGTCACCGCATATACACAATTCCAATAGAAGGGGTTTCCCACTGAAATATCAAAGCTTTGAGAGCCTAACACAGCAGCCTTAATGGCCATGATGTAAGCCTGCGCTTTTAAGGATTCAGTTACTATGAAGGATTAGAGTTTTAGTCAGAAAGGAACGACAAAAAAAGAACACCTGTTTGGTTTTTATGACTGTGTCCCTTTTAAAGAGAATTGCACTCACTACTGGTTCTGATGATCATTTTCACAGAGAATGAAAGGGAGACTTTCCTCCTTACTTTGGACACTATGTTTTCACTATGGGATAGGAAGTGAAGGAAAATTCTCCCCAATGTGACACAAATGTGACACAAAAAAACAGACAGGGGTTATCATTACGGTTTTCAGCAGTTAGGGGCAGTTCACACCACAGAAACGCAGTCTGGATAAGTCCCAGATGCATTTTGGCGCGTTTTGATGCATTTCGGTGCATTTTTTCCCCTCTTTTTTTCTTTGCCCTAAATAAGGACGTGTGTTCTGGTGCATTTAAGGTGCGTTCCAGTACAGTTCAATGCAGAAAAAATGCAGCATTTTCTACTTTTTTTCTGGATAGCACTGGAACTGAACGCACTGGTGTTAACTATGCCATTGGAAACCATATAACATGCTATCCATGTGTTTTTGATGCAAAAAAAAGCACACTGGACTGCATGTGGTGTGAACTGGAGGATACTGTAGACAAGACATGTTTCAGGGCCACTTCACACCACAGAAAGGCAATCCAGATGCTTTCAGGATGCGTTTCTGCATTCACGTTTTTTATGTGCTTTTGATGCGTTCCACTGCATTTTTGATGCGTTCTGGTACGTTTTTGATGTTGTAGAAAAAATGCAGCATGTTCTACTTTTTCTTTTGGCACTGGAACTGACCACACTGGTGTGAACTATGCCATTGGAAACCATATAACCTACTATCCATTCATTTTTGATGCAAAAAAAAAAAAACACACTGGACTATATGTGGTGTGAATTGGCCCTCAGTCAGGAAGATTAATAATCTAAGTGGCAGATTTGTTATAACTCAAGGTGAAAGAAAATGATATCACAGCTGCTGCATACAGTTGCAAGAAAAAGTATGTGAACCCCTTGGGATTATGTGGAGTTTTGCATGAATTGGGCATAAAATGTGCTCTGAACGTCATCTAAGTCACAACAATAGAAGAACACAGTCTGCTGAACATAATACTACACAAACATTAGATGTTGCCATGGTTTAATTGCACATAACATGTAAACATTCACAGTGCAGGGAGGAAAAAGTATGTGAGGCCCTAGCTTAATGACTTCTCCCAGAGCTAATTGGAGCCAGGAGTGAGCCAACCTTGACTCCAATAAGTGTGATGATATTGGATGTGTTGCTGACAGCTGTCCTGCCCTTAAAAAACACACACCTGCTTTGGGTTTACTGGTTTCAAGAAGCACTGTCTGATGTGAACCATGCCTCGCAGAAAAGAGCTCTCAGAAGACCTACGATCAAGAATTGTTGACTTGCATGAAGCTGGAAAGGGTTACAAAAGTATCTCCAAAAGCCTTGATGTTCATGTGTCCACGGTAAGACAGACTGTCTACAAATGGAGAAAGTTTAGCACTGTTGCTACTCTCCCTAGGTGTGGTCGTCCTGTAAAAATGACTGCAAGAGCACAGAGCAGAATGCTGCATGAGGTAAAGAAGAATCCCAGAGTGTCAGCTAAAGACCTACAGAAATCTCTGGCACATGCTAACATTTTTGTTGACACATCTACAATAAGGAAAACATTAAACAAGAATGGAGTACATGGGAGGACACCACGGAGGAAGCCATTGCTGTCCAAAAAGAATATTACAGCACGTTTGAAGTTTGCAAAAGAGCACCTGGATGTTCCACAGCACTACTGGCAAAATATACTGTGGACAGATGAAACCAAGATTGAGTTGTTTGGGAAGAACACACAACACTATGTGTGGAGAAAAAAAGGCACAGCACACCAACATCAAAACCTCATCCCCACTGTAAAACATGGCGGAAGGAGCATCATGGTTTGGGGCTGCTTTGCTGCCTCGGGGCCTGGACGGTTTGTTGTCATTGATGGGAAAATGAATTCCAGAGTTTATCAAGACATTTTGCAGGAAAATATACGACCATCTGTTCGCCAACTGAAGCTCCGCAGAGGATGGGTGATGCAACAGGACAATGACCCAAAGCATACAAGTAATTCAACAAAACAATGGCTGTAGCAGCACAGAATACACCTTCTGGAGTGGCCCAGTCAGAGTCCTGACCTCAACCCGATTGAAATGCAGTGGCATGACCTTAAGAGAGCGATTCACACCAGACATCCCAAGAATATTGCTACACTGAAACAGTTTTGTGAAGAGGAGTGGTCCAAAATTACTCCAGATCGTTGTGCAGGTCTGATCTGCAACTACAAGAAACGTTTGGTTGAGGTTATTGCTGCCAAAGGAGGGTCAACCAGTTATTAAGTCCAAAGGTTCACATACTTTTTCCTCCCTGCACTGTGAATGTTTACATGTTATGTGCAATTAAACCATGGCAACATCTAATGTTTGTGTAGTAATATGTTCAGCACACTGTGTTCTTCTATTGTTGTGACTTAGATGACGTTCAGAGCACATTTTATGCCCAATTCATGCAAAACTCCATGTAATCCCAAGGGGTTCACATACTTTTTCTTGCAACTGTATGGGGCAGTGAATGTCGGATTCCTGCAGGCAGGGGTGGTGAACTGTACCAGGCGAGCAGTGACATAATGACAAGTTGTCCACATATTGGTCAGCAGTGAGCTAGGAAGAATGTTTCAGAAATGTTTTCACTTGGACTTCTAACATCCATGTTTTTTACAGATTTCCTCATGGACCTATATACAATATCTGATAAGCAATCTATGATTTACAAAAATTACTCTCTGGTCAACTTTACCATGCTACTGCATTAACAGAAAAATTAAAATGAAAGTTTTACCATAAACACTCTTCTCATGATCTTCATGGATTGCAGTTACAGCAGCTGAATGGAAATTCTTTATCTCCAGCAGAACAGCTTCATGGGTTGCAGACATGTCTTCAATCTGTGTAAATATTAATGAAATGGAAATGTCAAGTGATACAAGGAACTGTTATACATGTTTCACACATACGGGCGTATTTATGAAGTAGTGAATGTAACTTTCCCCAAACATTCCTTGATGTGAATTAATCACTGTCATTCAAAAACATGCACCTTAAAGACTCACTTGCAGTGAACGTTTGGTTAATGCCAGATTCACTGCTTTATAAATATGCCTCATAGGTTCACATAGACGCCAGTGTGCTAAACATATGTGAGCGCATCTTCTCTTACAAACAGCATGATAATGATTTGGGGTCAATTTGATTTGATTTTTTTGGATTTAGAAATGAAATGTAAAACTGATCTTTTAAAAAAGGTTTCATTATTTTTATAAGATCCTAAAGTAAATCAATCCTGTCCACAGGCACAGTGATTACTTCCCTCATTCAACCCCACTACTATAGACAAGGTTGCTAAACTTTTTTCTAATGTTCACCTAACCAGTTTCCCACTGGACCCTGTTTCCTCGCATATGCTACAATCACCCTCTGGCTCTATCCTACAATCTTTAACTCACATCTTCAATCTCACCCTCTCTTCTGGCATCTTCCCCAACTCTAAATTATGCATTAGTCAACCTCATAGTTAAAAGGTCTTAACTGGACCCCACCAATCTTAACATTCACCCCATCTCCTTGCTCCCCTTTTCTTCCAAACTCCTTGAGCATCTGGTCTACAACCAACTGAGCAACCATCTCACTGAAAATAGCCATCTTGATCCCCTTCAGTCTTCATAATCTTCTCAATGCTCTATAGAAATTACCCTCCTAAAACAAACAATCTACTGACAACTTTAACTAATGGACACTATTCTGTACTCCTACTTCTGGACCACTCTGCTGACCATGACACAGTGGATCACCCCCTCCTCCTCAAAAACTCCACTCTTTTAATCTCCATGACTGTACTCTTTGCTTGTTCTCATCCTATTTATTATAACTACTGGTCATTAATTTCTGATTTATTTTAAATATGTATGGTGTTTACATCCCAATAATCAATACATATATAGGCATACTTTTTTTGGAAATGGGCTTTCAAAGCACCATAATTTGAAAACAACTGTTAGAATAAATGTTATAATGAATTCAATAAAAATTGTTATTTTAACAGTTGTTTTCAAATTATGGTGCTTTGAAAGTCCCCATTTCCAAAAAACGTATCTCATCCTACTTATCCCACTGCACCTTCAGCGTTAATTACAATTTTACTTCATCCTCTTTCTTTGTTGGGGTCCCCCAAGGTCCTGTTCTTAGATCTTTCCAATTCTCCATCTACACCTCCTCCCTGGGTCAGTTGATAGCCTTCCATGGCTTCCAATACCATTTCTACACTGATGACACCTAAATCTATCTTTCTACCCCACAGCTCACTCCATCAGTCTCTACATGCATCACTAATTTACTAACATACATATCAGTCTGGGTGTCACAATACTTCCTTAAACTCAATCTATCCAAAATCGACCTCATAATATTTCCTCCCAACTTGCCTCTTCCCCTGACTTCTCTGTCAAGATTGATGAACAACTATTAACCTATCCCTGCATGCCAAGGTTATCCTGGACCCTGAACTATCCTTTCCTCACATCCAATCATTGTCCAAAGCTTGCTGCCTTAACCTCCGCAACATCTCCAAAATACGCCCCTTCCAAACCAATGGCACCGCAAAGCTTCTAATTCACTCCCTGGTCATCTCTTGAATCAACTACTGCAACTCCCTCCTCATTGGCTTGCCTTTACATAGGCTATCCCCCCTCCAGTCCATCCTGAATGCTGCTGCCAGACTCATCCACTTTACCAACCATTCAGTGTCCACTACTCATCTCTGTCAATCCCTCCACTGGCTTCCTCTCACCCAACAAATTCAATTCAATACTAACAAGAACTTACAAAGCCATCCACAACTCAGCCCCCAGCTCCATCACTAACCTAGTCTCAAAATACCAACCAAATCCTTCTCTTCTTTTCTCCCAAGACCTCCTGCTCTTTAGCTCCCTTTGCTTCTCCTCTCATGCTCGCCTCCAGGACTTTTTCAGAGTCTCTCCCATTCTATGGAATTCCCTATCCAATCTGTCTGACTGTCTCCTACTCTGATGTCTGCTTTTAGACAATCCCTGAAAACCCATCTCTTCAGAGAAGCCTATCCTGCCCTCACCTAATAACTGTACTTTATTTTCTCCATCAGCTCATCCCCCACAATTATTACCTTTTGTATCTCTTAAACATCCCTCCTGGACTGTAAGCTCTAATGAGCAGGGCCCTCTGATTCCTCCTGTATTGAATTGTTTTGTAACTGTACTGTCTACCCTCAAGTGTTGCGCAAATTGTTGGCACTATAGAAATCTTATATATTGTTATTATTATCGTTGTTAATAATAATAATAATAATAATAATACTATATGGTACACCCATAACACTGTTTTTTCAGAACATTCTGGGTTTTCCAAAGGGAGAGGAGAGAACACAATAAAAGCTTCTCAATTTGCCTTTTTTCCTCATGAGAGAGGGATGTGCAAAAAGTAGTGGAAGCACTACTTTTACAAATCAGGTTGCACCGAACCGCATAGTACTGTGGTATCATGTGGTTTGGTGGCCACAACCGTGCTGCATTTGGGGTGCCATTAACAGTTAATAGCACCCACGTGTGTCTCACAATGGGGTAAACGTGTACATAATGTGCTTTTCCTGCACTGCGTTTTAGTGTGAGCCAGCCCTAAAAGTAGATCTTCCCTGAATCTGTTTTCCTGTGTCTGGGACAAGAAGTTAAGGGAAATCTCCAGTAGACAGACAGAAAAAAACAAAAAACAAAACTGACAGGAGTCTTAACCATTCCCTACTCTATGCAAATAAAACAAAACATATGCAGTACATATTAGGTACTACAGTATTTGACCAAACTGAAGAGTCATAGTTATGCTATGACTAAGGCTTTATAAGCTGAAACGCATTAAATATCTGCTGTAAAATGGACCACTTGATTTTTAATTATATAAACTCTCTGGCTTATATAAGGACTATACTTTGACTTTTTTCGAGCACAAAGTGCATGGGGCTACTAACAAGAGCCTAGCTGTGATACTGACACCTGCTGCATGATGATAACAGCCAGGGGGTAAAGCTAAGCTTGCTTGTTTGGTGGTACAATGAAAGCAGAGCTCCACCTGCTGCCTGGAAGCAGTAAACATTAAAAATTAACAAGCTATGTTTAATTTTTAAGCTTTTAAAGATTTGCCTAATACAGTAGGTAACTTCACAAGGTTTTTGCTTATGCCTTTGTTTGTATGCCTTAAAGGCTATTTTTTTGTGTCCCTTTGAGAATAGTTTCATTCACTGGCTCAGTTTACCTGACTTGGGGTAAATTCTGCCCCAATAGACAACATTTTTCCCACCCACTATCATCCTGCCTCGGATATTGCATTCCATCAGTGACAGTGAAACTCCTTTGTAAAGAATCCAGTAGGAAAGAGAGGGCAAAGATTTAGGTCCAAGCACCTAAACCTTAACTCCAGCACTGCTGACAGTTTAAATCACCAAATGTGTTAACTCTCAGTATCTAACCAAATTTAAAACACTAGATGATTTCGCTTTCACTTTTAAGGACCTGACTCAAGTAGTACTTTTTATTGTATTTTAGATAGAATGGGGAATGGTTATAATTGCTGTCAAGTTTTTATTGCTGAGTCCCTATTGCATAGATTTCCCCTCACTTCCTGTGGATATAGAAGAGATGGGAAATGACGGGATATGTGAGACAGCACATATAAAACACACAAAATGGAACGGATTCTTAGGTGCTTCAGACGGCCTATGACAGGGGCTCTCTGCCTGCCTCTATGACCAAGGCCACAGTGGTCTTGCTACTTAAGCCGGACAAGATGGCCACTGACCCTAGCTCCTATAGACCTATATCCCTATTACAATCTTACATAAAGATTCTGGCCGAAGTATTAGTGCTTCGCTTAAAATATAGCAATTACCACTATCATAAACCCTGATCAGGCAGGTTTCATGCCTCAGACGTCCACCGCTGTTAATTTACGCAGACTGTTTATTATTATGCAAATGCCGGCTGACAACAGGGGCTGTAGAGCGCCTCTGTCGTTAGATGCTGTAGCAATTGTACGTACAAATATGGACGCAAACATCCATTTTGATCATCCATCTTGTGTCATTCTCACTCCAAAATCAGCCCCCCTCCCTTTCTGTTGAGTGGACGGTGGTCTGTGTGTGTGCTGAGTTCAAACGGCTGGATACGCTTCATGGTTATAAACCCAATTAGCTGGTTCCATGAAGTCTGCGAGACTCTTGCTTTGAGCTGATCATAAAGCTATAAACTCGTCAGTCACTGGACTTGAAAAGCATTCCGAAATAGCAGTAAAACATATATCTAATTTGGGAAACCACTTTTTCATACACTTTCATAACTTCTCGTAGGAAATACATACAATAACACAAAACAATTATTGAGATTGGTCAGTTTACTGCGAGTCACCTGATACCTTACACCCCTAGATTACGTCTACCCGAGAGCAGAAAGAGATATCTCCTTGTACATATGGAAGGTTATTGACCATGATATAAACTGCGAGGGATTTGGTCATAGCCTGAGTTCCCCGCCTTGGTTATCTGCTTTAAGGACACACCCTGCTGGGTTGCTAGAAAAGGCTGTTATGCCTGGGGAAGGAAGATGAAGAGATCTCCATTTTAACATCAGGAACCAACTTTGGGAGAAACGTTTCCCTTTTGTTCAGGACACTTGAACGCTGCTTAAAACAGGACTTCTGCAAGTATTCTACCTTTTTAAACCTCTTTCTTTATCTCTCTGCTGTGTTATTTCTCTCTGTATTTATATATATATATATATTGGCTACATCTTTTTCTGTAAATATTATTATTGCACCATTTTGACCTTTTTAGTAATAAATCCTATTTTCTGAAAAGCGTTGAACTGTTTCT